ACCAAATGATTACTAATGGTGTTTTCTGAATAATAAGGTATGGGTGATTTTTTTCTTTTTTTTTTTTTATATTTTTCCACATTTCCAAATGTTTTACAGAAAATGTATATCAGTTCAATTTTTAAAACAAGAAATCGGGAGTGTATTAAAAAGGAGTATGATACTGAAGTTATTTTAACATATACATTTTGCACATCTATTTATTCACAATATTTTAAATAACTTATAATGGAAACAGAATGAGGAATTGGGGAGGATAAATGAACAGGACTTTAAAGGAACAAAAAAAGGTGATTCCGAAATGGAAAATTGGTCTTATGAACAAAGGCTAAATTAGGGTATCTTGGTTTACTTTCTCCAAGTCCATGAAAACCTTACACCAGGGGGACACATCTCCTTCGTTCTTCATTTCCTTCAAGGATCAAAATAAAACTTTTTTTTAGTTAACGGAGAAAATTTTTCACTTGGATATAGAGTTGCATCTACTGTGAAAGGTTGTGGAACTATTCAAGAAGAATGCTAAGTCAGACAAACTTGCATTTTATGTTGAAACTCCACCACTTACTAGCTATGTGATCTTGGGAACATTCAGTAATCTTCCTTAGCTTCAATTTCTTCATCAGCAAATTAGAGTTTACAAATACCTAACATTGTAGGCTTGGTGTGCAGTGAGTTAATATATATAATGAGTTATTGTATCAAGGGGTCACCATGCTTATTAGAATATTTGTAGCTCTTTGTAAATGTTCCATTCTTAAGTTAGTCACACTACTATTTCTCCACTGGAGTCCTAAACTCCCCAACAGGGGTAGGGGAAAGTGTGTCTCCAATGTCTTCTTAGGAGATTAGTAGTTTTCTCTGGTAGTTTTTATATTTTGTATTTGAATTTTGTTGATAATCACATTTTTTTTCAATTACTTGTATGCCAGTCATTAGCATAAAATATTAGCAAACCCAAAGGCACCTCACTCCCTGCCTGCCAGCCACACTGGCCTCCTATTTGTCCCTTCAACCTCGTTCAAGGCTTTGTGTTTGTTGTTCCCCCTGCCCAGAATGCTCCTCCTTCTTTGAGTCTTTATTCAAACGTCATTTTCCCAGTAAGGGCCTTCCTGGCCACCCTTTCTAAAATCCCTGACATGCCCTCCCTGCCTCCCCAAGTTGGCTATGGCTGTTCTGCCTAGTACTGGCATCATCCTGTATGCGTCTGTTTCTCCTCACTGAAATAGAAGCTCCACGAAAACAGATCTTAGTTTAACTTCTAATTGCTATATTTCCAGTTCTAGTACACAGGCACTGGGTGAATATGTGTTACATGAATCAATGCACTTTGTGATTGTTCATATTAAATATTTCAAACACAACAATTTAGTAATTTCTAAAATGTAGCCAAAGATGAGTGTGGGGGAATGCCCAAATTCTCAATTTGAGAAAGGATTAGTTGCAGACAGTAGGATCCACTTTAGCCAGTTTAAGGAGAAAGGAATTTATTTCACAGTGTTGAATACTTTATAGAATTTTTTGGAGGGCCAGTGAACAAAGCTTGGATCTACGCAGCCAGGTGAAACACAGCCAGGCATGGTACGCTACAACCCACAGGACTACCGTAGGGAAAACCGGGCTGCCCAGTTCTCGAGCCACTCTGCACACGTGGCTTCGTGCTAGGGACTAAACTGTGCTGATGAGAGCAGAAGAGTCAAATGCCCCTGTTGCCATGTCAGCCAGAAGAATTAATCCGCACTCCTGCAGCTGCTGTCTCCTGTTCACTTTCTCCTTGGGAGACTCAGGTGAGTACATTTCCATGACAAAACCTAATTTTAATGTAAAATCTAGTCACAAGGGAGTCGTGGGAATGTTTTAGCTGCCTCCCTTTTTGGTTCAGGAAGGTGTGCTAAAAATGGAACAGATAAGTGACCCAAAGTGCAATTTCTGTAGCAGTCCATCCTCTTGCTACTCAACATACATAAACACTCTTATTCCTGCCTTAAAACTTCCACCTCTGGGTGATGTTCATTTTTCTTCTAGCTCAGTGACAATCCCATCTTGATATCTTGAAATCTAGCAAATAAACTATAAAGTGAACTACTGCCAATCCATCACATAGTAAAAACTAGGGGATTACTGTTCAGCAATAAAAAGGAATAAACTATTTACACACATTATAATTTGGAGGGAAGCCAGCCTCAAAAACATGTATGATTCCATTTATATGGCATTCTTAAAAAGACAATGTCCAGCCAGTATGGCTTAGTGGTTGAATGTTGACCCATGCATCAGGCGGTTGCTGGTTTGATTCCGGTCAGGGCCCATGCCCAGGTTGTAGGCCCAATCCCCAGTGGGGGGCATGCAGGAGGCAGCCAATGGATGTTTTCTCTCATCGATGTTTCTATCTCTCTCCCTCTCCCTTTGTCTCTCTCTAAAATCAATAAAGAAAAAAATTTTTTAATGAAAAAGACAAGACTATCATGATAGAAATCAAACATGTCACCTTCTTCCAGGAAAAGTTCACCATACAGTTGTACCCACTGGAAAGGTTCCCTTTTCCATTGTCCTTCAGAGCCACTCATGATTTACTTACTAATTAACATAACAGCAGAGAGATGGTCCTTGAGTTTTTCCATACATACTATTCTAAGGCCAGGAAGCATGAACTAAAAATCAAAGAAAAATTTAACCACTTGGAAGCAGAATGTTATACTGAGTAAGATAGCAAATGTCAATAAAATGTTTCCTATAAGACATATTGTTCAAAGAATACATGCAATAACAAGCTTGTTTGTGAACTATATACCCAATATTTGCATGTCTGTTCATTAATATTTACATTACTTGGGATAGGAGTATTCCTGTATTAGAGCTGAGCCATCAGAAAGCCTATGACCTATCAATTCTTTTACCATTTTATCAATTTTCCTTTTTTAAAAGAAATGCAAGTATGATTGGCATGCACAGATTCTGCAAATCCATTTACCCAGATACCTCAGATAAGAGCAATGAAGGAAATACATTTTAGCCCTCAGATGTTAGGGACATGCAATTCATACTTAGTGCAAGATGCTTCTGTCAGATAATTTGAAAGAAAAGACTAGGTGACTGGAAGTAGGGCTTTAAAAGGTTGGTTTTTTTGTTTGTTTTTTGGTACGTGACCCTAGCAGGAACCGAACCCAAGACTCTCTGGTCCTCAGGCCAATGCTCCAACCACTGAGCCAAACCGGCCAGGGGCAGGGCTTTAAAAGGTTTTAAATGCCACCCGGCCAGTATGGCTCAGTGGATTTAGCATCCTCCCATGGTCTCAGAAGTCCTGGTTTGATTCCCAGTCAGGACAAATGCCCGAGTTGCAGGCCCAATCCCCAGTGGGGGCGTGCAGGAGGCAGCTGATCCATGTTTCTCACACTGATGTTTCTGTCTCTGTCTTCCTTTCTCTCTCTCGAAAAAGATAAAATAAAATAATTAAAAGTTTTAAATGTTAAGCACTGTAAAGAAGTCAATAGCTGCAGAACCACACAGAACCTCAAAAAAGGTCTGATCTTTAAAGGTCAGTGGGCCAAATTTCATCTCAAATCCCTGACTCCTCTCTGCAACTCTCCCTCCAATGATTTTTCAGACTTAAAACAACAACAACAAAAAAAAAAAACCTAAATGACCGAGAAATAACTACCTTCCCAGACAGCTCTCCTACCTTTGGACAACTCTCACAGTGGGAAAGTCTTTCTTCAGAGGAGCAAAAAAAAAAAATCTGTCTCATCATAATTCTAACTCTGGGGCCCAGAGGGGCAAGCCTCATTCCTCTTCCAATGATAACCCTTCAAATAACTTCCTTCTAATCATCTCTTCTCCAGAATAAGCATCCCCAGTTTCTTACATCATTTTTCACATGTTTAATTTTATGTCCACCTCAATTTTCTAATGTTCCTCTTAAAAGTCTACATTTAAACTAAATAGCATAAATTTAGTCTATAATAAAGTAGAAGTATAATTTCTCTTATTCTAGAATGGCTGTTTTTGCAATATAGTGTCCAGGTAGACTTTCTGGAAGTTACACTAATGTTCACTGCAATTGCTAACATTCATTAGGGACTCGATATGTGCCAAGCCCTTCAAAGAGGGCTTCACATGCATCATATCATTTAGTTCTCATGACAAGCACCTGTGAGGTAAGCACTATTTTTTTTTTTGAAAAGCCATTTTTATTGAGGAATTTGGAGGGAAATTCTCATAGTAGTAAAAATACTAAAGTTGAATGTAAAAAACCGCCATGGTGCAGCGCAGTGTCTGGCTGGGGCTGCCGAGGGTGCGGTGGCGCCCTCCAGGGCGTCGGGCGGGGGGCGGGGCGCGGGGCCGTGAAGCTTCTATGAAGGACAGGTGGACAGGTGGACAGGAGCTACAGGGGAAGCCATCGGGCGAATCCCGAAGGGAGGGCAGGGCTGGGGGGGATTGGGGGAGGGCTTTCTTGTCTAAGGTGAACCCCCAATGCACACAAACAGCAGGACACACAGCAGCTTCAACCTGCTCCTGTCCTGGGTGGACCATAGCCAGCCCCGGCCCACCTCGGGGCCACTGTCCAAGGGCTGTGGCGCCAGGGCTGCCATTGGCCCCCACCTGAGGGAGAGGGGGCCAGGCCAGCACGCCACAACCAGGTTGCTTCTGGTGCCTCCAAGCTGGGCAGGGACCGGTGACAGCCAAGGACAGCTGACGCGAGGGATGGGCTGAGGGCAGGGCCCCGCTGGACCCCCAGGTGCGTGCGGCCGCAGATGTCCTCAGCACTTGTCTGAAAGCAGAGGCCGCGTCTGGAGACCGGATGAAATAAATTAAGAAAAACTGCAGGACAGCCCTGCCCCACAGCATGAACGTCTTCCCGCGCGCGCTCGAGCAGTGCGGCTCCTCCAGACACCCAGAAAGAACACATTCACACAGGTCTTCGGCGCGGCTTCCTCCCAGTCCAGAGCCGCATCCAGGCGTGTGGCCCCCGCATGGCATCTGCCAGCACTCCGGGATGGCCCTCCTCAGGCTCTCCTCTCCAAGTAGGAGAACTGGGGGAAGTGGGGTCTCCGCTCGCTGTCCCCACACTCCATGTTGTTATCTTGGTCCGGCGGCGTGATGGTGATCATCTGGGCTGTGAACTCCTCATCAAAATACCTAGTGTCCGTCTCCGACGTGACCTGGGGCCTGAAGGGCGGAATGAGCTTCTTCTCATACACGTCTTGCCACATGATGCTGGCAAAGAAGCGGTGCTGCACGATCTCCTTGGCATCCTCGGAGCCCCCTCCAAGCCTCTGCTTGGGGTCCTTCTTGAGCAGCCCGGACAGCAGGGCCTTGGCTTCCGGGCTGAGCTGCGCGGGAAGCGGATCTCCTCCATGAGGATGAGCTCGAAGAGCTTCTCGTGGTCCTGGTTGTAGAAGGGCAGCCGGCCGCACATCATCTTGTACATGACGACGCCCAGCCCCCACCAGTCCACCGCGCGGCCGTAGTCATTGTCCTCCAGCACCTCTGGGGCCAGGTACTCCGGGGTCCCACAGAAGGTCTTCATGGTGGCCCCGTCCTTGATGCCCTCCTTGCACAGCCCGAAGTCTGTGATTTTGATGTGCCCGTCCTTGTCCAACATCAGGTTCTCCAGCTTCAGGTCGCGGTAGACCACGTTCTTCTCCGAGTGCAGGTAGTCCAGGGCGGACAGGATCTCGGCGCCATAGCAGCGGGCCCGGTCCTCAGGAAACACCCGCTCCCGGGACAGGTGGAAGAACAGCTCGTCGCCATTGGCGTGCTCCATGAGGAAGCAGAGACGGTCGTGTGTCTGGAAGGAGTACTTCAGGGCCGTCAGGAAGGGGTGCCGGGAGTTCTGGAGGACACGGTTCTCTGTGAGTGTGTGTGCCACCTCGTCCTTGGCCACGATGACCTCCTTCTTGAGGATCTTCATGGCGTAGTAGCGGCCTGTGGCCTTCTCCTTCACCAGGATCACCTTCCCGAAGGTACCTTTGCCCAGCAGCTTCAGGTATTCAAACTCGTTCATGGTCACACGGCGCTTCGGCCTGGCCAGGGCCACCTCCATCTCCTCGGCCCCGGAGTTGTCACTGGGCGAGCCCAATCGGAAGTCCATCATCTCCTCCTCCTGCCTCTTGAGTCCATCGGCCACCGTCTGGATGGCCGTCGCCCACTCCTCTCGCTCCTCGGGCGTCTCGACGTGGAAGGTGCGCTCGATGACCGTGGTCCGCTGCAGGCATCGGATGATGAAGGTGTTGGGCTGGGCCGTTCCGACTTCATCAGCTGGCATTGTGCCACGGAGAAGTTGTTGAGGGGCGACTCCCGCTGCTCCAGGTCCTGTGGCCGCTCCTTGTAGCCGGTGAAGGTGCCGCCGTTCTTGAGCAGGAAGTAGCGCGGCCGCCAGGTCTTGATGTACTCCCCTCGTTTGTGAAGCCAGCCCTCCTTCACGATGGCCACGTCGTTCATGGTGCCTGGGTGTCACTCACGCTCCTCTCTCGGAAGGGTCTCGCCGAGCCCAGCGGTGCCCACAGCCTCGGGCGCTGCGTCCGGGCGAGCGCAGGCATAGCCTGGCCACGGCCTCCGGCGCCCGCCGCGGGCCGGGGCGGGGGCGGGCTGAGCGGCGCGGGCCGGTGGCCGGTGCTGTCGGGCGGGCCCCGCGTGGGGCCCGGTGCTCGTGCGCGGCCGCGGCTCGCGTCCTCCGGTGCCTGCTGCGCGCGCTGTAAGCACTATTTTTATTGCCATTTTCAAATGAGGAAAATGGGGGTTAGAAAGAATAAGAATTTGACCTACCCAAGATCAAATACTTCTTAAGTGACAGAATTTGGATTCTATCCCAGGATTTCTGGAAAAGAGGTAGCTAACACCTATTGAGCACTCACAATGTGCCAGAACTGTGCTGAGCCCTTACCTCAAACTGTTAAGTAGCTAATATTATTATTCCCATTTTACACATAGGAAAACTGAGGCTTTGAGAGGCATAACAAAATGATTAGAAATTGAGAACTAGTTTATCTGAACAAGTTTACTTTATAGACTCAGATTCAGGATTTTATATTTATCCCTTATTGGATTTAGTCCATCACTCAAAATTTTTAGAGATACTGAATCATCTAAAGTATATTTACCCATGACAGTTTTTTATAACTGTAAATTTTATAAGAAAGGCATCCACGTGTTCAAGTTATCAACAAATCACACTGCATAGAATGCCTAGGAACAAGTCATCCACAAGTCATGGGAAACATCTCTCCAGACACCATCAATCCAATTATCAGACTGTATCAGCACAGTCATTCAACATCTAATAGTCTAATCTAGGCTGTATTTCTCCATTTTGTCCACAAACACACAATGCATTTGTTAAGTGTCCTACTGGAATATAGATTGCTCATCCCAGCTCAAACTTAATGACCCTATCAAAGAAAGAATATTATATCAGTGTGAAGTAACTTAGAGATCGTAAATCCATCTTGGACTTAGTGATTACAATTCTAAGTATTTATTATTTTTTCAGAAACAAAACACTAAGTAGATATATGTCAAATTGTTTTCATATTCATGAATACTATATTTTTATTCATGCAGTTGGGTATATATCGTACTTTCTACATCATCAAAATGAAATTTGAATTTCAATGTCTTCCCACTCAGTTTTCTGAGTTGATTTTGGTCAGGCAGCATGACATGCTACTTTTTATAATCCACACTTGTGTTCTTGACCTCTTGGGCACCTTGAAGATTGGCAGTATAATTTTAGAGTTTTGTTTGCATTTCCTATTTGGTTAAGCTGATAGTTACACTTTTCCTTAATTGAATTACCCATCACTGTAAATGGATTACCTTCTCTTGAAAGTCATCCTTTTGACAGACAGATGCTTGGCACTTGAATAATAATATTATAAGACTATGAATCTGTTTTAAAGTATTTCCTGGCTTTGAAATGACATCATATATTCAATAGATTTGGCTACCACCTTTGATTTCATTATTTGGCATTTAATAGTCTTTCTTTGTGTAAAATAATATTTTTGTTCAGTTCTATGTTACAGTAGTATCTCTTTTTAAAATATTCAAGGCAGCATTAGAGATTCAAAATTAAGTTAATTCAAGTATCTGAATGCTACTACATATGACAGTGTTATCACTCCCAAAGACAATGACCACTAAGAAGCATAGAAACTGGGATATATATTACTTTTTTGGAAACACCTAGATTTCATGTCAAAATGTAAAAAACATGTAAGTCTGATAATTGAAGAAAAACAATAGTTCTGAGAAGTTTGGGTTACAAATTGTGGCCATATTTCAAGCAGTACAAAGCCAAAAATGTTCAACAGTGTTTTCTTGTACCCCATTCCCCCTCTACAACCTCGAACAGAAGGTAGAGTTGTTTGATGAGGAATTAAGAAAGGTCAGACATCTGTCTAATGTTGTGAAATGCTTGGTTTAAGATACTTCTTACTTTTATCTAAATATCAGATTTCCCCACATATATTTGTAAATCTGACATCCTGTCCCAATTAGTATTATTTTAAATATATCTGTAGAGCTATTACCCCTCTGAGAGATACAAAAGGTCACTGCTTTTCTAAAACAGAATTATTCAACAGAGCTTAATAACTGCACTGCTAATGTCATTCATACTATACCTGAGAGAAATGCTCCTTGAGATGAATTCAGACCAAGTTTTATTTGTAATGTTAATTTGTTTTTCCTAAGAAGCCTCAGCTGCATCATTTCCCTTCATGCTTGCCAGACCTGATGAGGTTTTGATATTAGGGTGAAGAAAGATATACATTCCCATTTTTCATCTCAGTTCAAAAATAAAAATTACATTAGCCATTTATAGTATGCCTATTAGTGTCCCTTTGATAACTTTCTGATCTTTAGCATTTATAAAGTAGGCCTTAAATTCTGATACCACAAATCCTGACTGACATTTAATGATTCCTTTTCTTATAACAAAGTGAGGTGGCCTAAGAAATTTATAGAGATGCACTGTTCCACTAAGATCATAATCTGAAAAGTAAGATAAAGTGATCAAAATAATATAAGCAAGAACCAGCCCTGGTACTGTATTTCTCTTTAAAATAAGAGGGGGAAGAATTAGGTCCTAAAAAATGTGTCCTTAAGGTTATGACTTAGGATTGAATCTTACTCGTGGAAGGAAATACCAAGATGTGATTTCAAACCTATTCAGAAAATAAATAAATTTTTTCCTCAGTAATGGAAGAAAGTAATCATGTAAACAACATCAAGCCATCATCAGATACAGAGATTATTCATATCAAAACCCCTGAATAAAACAGTATTTAACTTGTTTTACATTCCCATACTTCATTCCATTCACTTTTCCCCCTGTCTATAATCACTAGAGTTTAACCAAATAAATCTTGATTCTACATTCAGCTTCCCATAAGTGACACATTTTAGAATGTATTAAATTGAGAGGTTTATACATCTATTAATAACTCTCAATCTCCATACAAATTTAAATTCAAATTGTTTGGTCTAGAATTCATGGCCCTTCCTACTCAAGCCTTTGCCTGGCTTTCCATTCTTATCATTAACCATTTCCTTAAAATTGCTTACAATTCAATAAAACATATAGTAATCTAAAGCCATTCTTTTTTTTTGTTTTGTTCACATTCTTTGTTTTCTACCTGGAATAAACTTCCACTCATGCCCTTCTGTTTATCTTAGAGATTGAGATAAAATGTCACCTTTTTTACAATGATTTGCTTTAGTTTGGGTATGAATATTTCATTTGTACCACTCTCATTGAATATATTGTTTAACCCTGGCTGGTTTGGTTAAGCGGTTAGAGCGTCGGCCTGCAGTCCAGAGAGACCTGGGTTCGGTTCCCACTAAGGGCACATAGCTTGGTTGCAGTTTGTCCCCAGCCCTGGTTGGGTCATGCGGGAGGCAGCCACTCAATGTGTCCCTTTCATGTCGATGTTTCTTTCTCTCTCTCTTCCTCTCTCTCTTCCCACTCTATCTAAAAAGAATATATTATTTATATTTATAAATGACAAATTCTCTCTCAAATTCAAGAACTTTTCAACATACTTATTGGCATCTTGTACAGTGTAACCTCACATAACAGGGTGCACAGTAAAAACGTGTAAGAGAGTAAATAAATGAGTAAATGTATGGTCCATGATCTTGTATTTATACCATCTATTATTCATGAAGGATCGATCCCCTTATCCCTTTCATGCCAATTTTAAATTTATTACAGAAATAAATTATTTGCAAAGGCTTTAAATTTTTTATTTTCTAGTAATATGACACACTTGACACCTTGACCAACCCTCTCACTAAAAAAATAATTAAAATAACAAAAAAATATTTTTAAATACATCAATATGTTAGCAAGAAAGTAAATAACCTCAAAAGCCATAGGGATCCAGAGAGGTAAGCCCAGCTTTGAATCTAGCTTTCACTTTGAGGACATTTACCCATGAAGGTGAACTTGAGCTTCTGTATTCACAGAAAACAGGAGATAAATCCTGGGAGACACCTGACCAAGATGAGGAATATAATAGGAGATGCTTTAATAAATCAGGTACTCCAAAGTCCTAAACCCTCAAGGTATATGTGAACTAGAAATAAATCCAGGGGACAGCAAGGAAAATTGCTTATTATAAAATGTGGCATTGGGTAGAAGGAAACATAAAATCACCCTTTGAAATTGATATCCACAAGCTGACCCACCCTGATCTTGTAGCCCAGTCTCATATTACCTGGGGATATCCAAAAAACCTCAGGCAAAAAATTTTAATTTAAAGTGTTCTCTGTTGGTGGAGTCTCCAGTGTTTGGCAGAAGCAAATGCAAATAGTCCCTGGAGGTATAAATTGCCAATACAGAGCTTGAAAAATTTGAACAGATAAAATTCCAAAAAATATAAACTTATAGTTGAAACTCACAACATGTGTGAGGAAACAAGTCTCGTAGAGTGAGAAGTAGTAGAAATAACAGACAGCAAAGTTTGATACATCAAGGCTTCAGATATTGGAATTAGAAGACAAAAAATAAATATTAAATATATTTAATAAATTTTTAAAATTTAAACGACCTAGAAATTAGGACATATTTTTAAAAGGCAAAACTGGTTTAGAGAGAGAGAAAGCAGGAAGGAGGGAGGGATGGGGAGAAAGAGAAGATGAGGGGAAAGGAAGGAAAGAGGAAGTATGGAAAGAAAAAAGTGAGGGGGAAAAGAAGTAACTACATAGAACATTTAGAAGTTAAAATATAATAATTGAATTAAAAACTCAATAGATTTTTTTCCATGCTTTTTCCCTTTCTCTTGGTTCAGATCAATTGATTTTTTTTTAATTAGCAAAATGTCTTTACCTGATACAGTATCTACAAAACAACTACCACTAAACATTGTACTTAGTAATAAAAACATCCCTGTAGAGATCAGGACAGTTACCATAATGCTTACTTTTTTCAACTTCTTACTGGCGTCTCTTGCCAGTACCCAAAGGAAATAAACAGTGGAAGGAATAAAAGGGAAGAAATTAAAATATCATTATTTTC